TGGGGGTGTGGGTGTGGGTGTGGGTGTGGGTGTGGGTGTGGGTGTGGGTGTGGGTGTGGGTGTGGGTGTGGGTGTGGGTGTGGGTGTGGGTGTGGGTGTGGGTGTGGGTGTGGGTGTTGATGCGTGTGAGTGTGGATGTGAGCATGAGCATGAGTGTGAATTTCGTATTCATCTACACCCACACCCACCCACACCCACACCCACACCCACACCCACACCCTCATTTTTCGAGCTATTGCCAATATTTTTTTTATTTTATAGATCTCAATCAGAGTAAACTGTTGTCCGAACGGATTTTTGAAAGTCAGTTCCTGAGCTGAGAAAAGTGGAATTTACTGTCTTTGGACTACCATTTTTTATGCTAATTGTAAGACCTTCGCACTAAAATGCTAATAAAAAATCAATAGAATAGAAAACCAAAATTCCGTTCGGACAAAAATTGCGTATTAACATGTATTTTAATTTGAAACCAGTCCGAGCTCTCTATCTTTTGTTACTAGGTAGTAATACCGATTTTCCTGAAAGTCAAAAATGACTCATGAATCAGCTGGAAATCCAGTCTAATGGACCATTCTAAATGGAAAATCATTTCTGAGCCCCCCTCCCCCATTAAGATACCGTTCCTTGTCCTTGTCTAATTGCAAAAAAAGAATTGTTTCTCATCGTTAACCATATTAATTATATATTACCTCATCGATTAAATAAAAATTATAATGTTAGGATTACTGAATTAGTTTTACAATGCTTCTTCTTCCAGCTATGTTTTTGAAGGATATTTTGGATGTGGATGTTATTAGTAGTTCTGTCATTCACTAGCACTTACACTCACACCCTCATGAAAAACAATCGAACGTAATCGAGGTGAATGTAAGCATGAAATATAAACATGAAGAAACAAAATTGGTCCTTGAAATTCGTCCAAATCATCATTCGATAGACAATAACAATACTGATGTTTCGAATGATGAGGCGAGTCTATCAAATGACTATATTTCATAGGCAATACTATATCACTTTGACGACGCTTTTTTTCTTCTAGAGATATTATTTTTTTTTTCGAAATAATATTAAGTGCTTAAGCAAGCAGTAGAGTCATATCGAATTTCTATTTGTTGAAAGATTACACATGACGTTTCTTCACTTTCAATAGATAAGAAAAATGTAAAGATGGATATCGAAGTTATTCTATCTCATTCCAATGCAAGCGATGATTTTACTAGTAGTTCACTGTTTTTTATTCGTTTTATTCAGGTAATTATAAAACTTAATTGTTTTTGGCGCTAGCCTAATATTGAACAATTTTTCTTTTAAGCTTTACAGGTTTGATTGTTGTTGTTTCGTTTTACATATGGCGCTATTAATTTACTATGTTACTAATTAGTTCGCGTGAAATCTCAATTTTGTGATGGTATGTCTCAGTATGGTCGATGTTCAGCAAACAGCGCATGTGCCTGTTTCCACATAGCAGGTGCTGTTGACACTGGCATTTGTAATGATGAATTCGTCGATTGTTCTGAGCTAATTACATGTGAACAACCAAACAACATTTGTCATGAACCTAACCATAGATGTGTTCATCATCCTCGATGCCGTAATCAACCTGTTTGTTATCCGATTCCTAGTTTCAATAAACAATTGTGTCCACTTATAGCACGTAAGACAACAAACAATGATCTACAGATTCAAATAAAAGTGAAAATTTTATTTTTTTATCCTTCACAAATTCTTACATATGCAGCTCACTTTGGTAGGGAAATGCTGAAAAGTGATTTTGAAAAAAAAAGGATGAAACATGATAGACATAGGCCATTGAATGAAATGAATGAATATTCTAATGATTCGAGATTATAACGCTTCATACTTGCAGTAAAAGTTATGTATTGCAATCGTAGCCAGTGAACATAACTCTTAGCGCATATCCAAAATACAATAGAACTGTTGGATTCAGTTTGGTTTAATTTGATTTAACCGAATCACATTGAGTTGATTTGTCGAAAGTTTTACTGACCTAATAAACACAGAAATTAACTTTGTTTACATAAATGTTATTTGATAATGAATAGCAATGGATACTACAACTTCGACGACAACGACAACTACAACCGCTATTCAGCAGCTAGGTATATTTTAGATTAACGTTTCTTATGATAGTAAAAGATTACATTGATAAGACTGATGAGCTAGTGTCGTATGTAATCCTCGTGTGGACATTCTTGCGTCAATGTCGAAGTTTGATTCGTTTTGCTCCTACCTAAAAATAACGAAATTCATTGTTTCTCTTCATTTTATAAGAATGTGGAACACATTATCTGAAACATTCCATTCATAGGTTTGGCTATCAACATTGCAAACAATTTCTTGTTAGTTTTCAGTAAGGAGAAAACAAACTCATAAGTTGATCACTTAGAGAAAATTTTAATATAGAAGAGAATGTTTAGTAACATTTAAAATACAAAAAAACATTTGAAATAATAATATATGTGTTATTAAAAAATTCAATAAACATGGTGACCGAAAAGTCATTTTACCAAAAACAAATTGAATATGTCTATTACGACTTAAGTAAAATGTGATGAATTTTTTATCAATGATAGAGGCATTTTCAAACTTTATATTGCTAAAGACATGTCCAGAGAGATCCTTTGTATTTCTATCTGTGAAAAAGTAAATTTTAATGTTGAAGTTAATAGCATTATTTAGCGAAGAGTCTCGCTGAGCTTGTCTAGAGATATTCAATTATTTTTTGATAAAGTGACTTTTGAGACATCCTGTAGATAGCACAAGCATACAATGTATGATAGTCTAGTTCAGGACTGGACGAGTCCGAGTCACTTTTTTTTACTGACTCGGACTCAGAAATTTCGAAACGATGACTCGACTCGAAAAGTCGAGTAATTCTCAAGTCAGCCGTTAAAAGAAAGAACTTTGACTAGGTTGTATAACAAATTACAATTTTTTAAGATAAATTGCTCGTTTATCAAACACTGACTGACCAACTGAATATGTTTCATTCTGTGACTTTTCAAAAGAAAATTTTTCAATATCCGTATTCATGTTGAATATTCCTGTCTATCCGTAGTATTGAACATATGCTCTTTGGGATTGTTTTCTTTGCGCACATTTTTGAAAGTGTGCGCATGTATGTAAAAAAATGATAGTTTTACATAATGTGTTCTGCCACATTAGTAACAATTGAACTTGTCTTTTTTTCAATGTAATCTTTTACTGAAATTGAATCGTCCAAGTTTTACAGAAGCTAATATTTGTCTATTAACATCTTTGAGATGCAATAAGACATTAATTTCTAATGAATAAATTCAGGGCTATGCTCCTACAGAGTGGGAAGCAGAGGGTCCGGACCACCACTTTTGAAAAGTAGTGACTTTCTATCGTTATATTGCTGTAGAAAATTTGTTTAAAATCTGAATATTACAACTTTCTCTTGAAGAGAATGTACGGGACTGGACGATGGATATATTAGGATCAAAAATCCATTCCTTTTGATGGATTCCTGAATACATTTTGCTTGTACACAGGTTTATATGTAATTTTCTATTCATAAAAAAAAGACACTTCTTTACTGTACAGCTAATCGTGTTGTTACTATTGTTATTTGTCTAGAGGAATTCTATCTTTTTACTTTATAGGTGGTTTTCCTTTTTTCAGTTTTTGTTCCGATAATCTTGTAATTAGATACTGTTTAATGAATGTTTCTGACGAACCTTCTTAGTAAAAGTAAACAGAGAAGAATGGCAAATCAAAAATTATCTGACTCGACTCACCCAGCCCTGGTCTAGTTACAAAAATATAGCGGTAAACCTAGGAAATGAAAGATAACTCATGCTTATTGAGAATGGATCTGAATGACCCTTATTAGATCTCTTTGCTTTCTTGTCATCATTCTCACCAGCAGTAGAAGTTTTCTAGGGAGAATTCGAAAATGTCATTCATGAAAGTTACGCAACAAGAACTTCAACACTTACAAGAATGATTCACTGGAAGAACGTGTCTGAGATTTTTGTAGTTCTCATTCAATCCAGTCTGGATTTTGTAGAATGGGTTTTTGACGGATTCTTCTCTTTCTCTCTCTCGAGGGTGTTTCAATGAGAGTATCGATATTAATGTGACAAGTGTTTATTAAACTTTAGTGTCGTCTCTTTGCATCCTAAATGGGTAACTCAACCAAGCGGATTGTTCCAATATATATGTTGGAGGAAAAATTAAAATTTAGGAAAATTTAAAATTCTCCTAGGAAAAATTAAAATTTTAATTTCTCCTAGAAGAACTTGAAATTTCAATTTGTACTGGACTTTTTCAAGGAAAAGTTAAAATTTTAGTTTTTCCTATAGGAAAAATCAAAATATCTTTTACGTCCGATAGAATATCAGAAGAAAAGAAAAATATACATTTAAATAAATGTTGCGCGCATTACTGAAATAGACTTTCTCGTATCACGTTCTTATTACTATGGAAGAATTTTGTAAATTACTTGATGACCATATCCAAGGTTTAAATCACAAGTTTCAAGATAAATTTTGTATAAGACAGTCATTGTATGATGATATAATCTTGGTTCTCCAAGATGGTTGGGCAGATTCTCAACTCAAATTTTGGGTGCTTAAAAATTTCAAATTAATCAAAATCGGTGATCAAAATGTTGTATATGACATTAAATCTAATAATCCTATTGTGACATACGAAAACCTGTACATAAAAATCAAAGAATGTCATGAAAGAATTGGCCATCACGGTCGAGACAAGACGTGGTCAGAGGTATGTAGCGTAAAGGTTTACAGTTGAATCAAATGATGTATTTTTTAGGTGAAGGATCGATATGTATGCGTTCCATTTGAAAGTGTAAAACTGTTTATTTCGCAGTGTGATGTATGTTGCAATAGAAAACCATTTCCAAAACCAACAGCTAGTAGTAGGTTATAGTTAATGCGAGAATAAAAATAAGCATAGTATGTTTTTTTTTATATTTAAGCAAAACCTATCGTATGCATCGGATACCTTACTCGCTTGCAAATGGATTCTTCATACCAAGGATCATTTCACTAAATGTTCCTGGGGGGTATCCGCTAAAAACCAAGGAAGCGGAACCAGTTGCTGAAAAGCTCCTACAACAATTTTATTGGTTTGGAGCACCACGTATTTTACAAAGCGATAACGGCAAAGAATTCGTGGCTAAAGTTATAAAGGTACTAAGTTTCACTTACTGCTCATGTTGCATTATTCAAAAACTTCTTTTATATTGTATAGGATTTTAAAAAAACATGGCCTGATCTCATCATTATCAATGGCCGCCCTCGCCACCCCCAAACGCAGGGTTTGGTGGAGCGGGGCAATCAAACACTTGAATCAGCTCTTGGAAAATGGATGGAATCGAATAATCGTAAAGATTGGTCGAACGGTACGTGGATTCATACATAAACAACCATCCGTAAAAGACTGTTGAGTTTAGGTTTGCCACAAGTGATTTATTCGATTAATACAAGTTCAGCTAAGCCTACCAATAAATCACCGTATGAGGTAGTTTTCGGTCAGAAAGCGAGATGTGATATCGCAATGTGGCAAGTTTTATCAGATCAAGGTATTTTTGATGGATAAAAGAACGCCAGGAGCTTGAAAGCGAAGGCGAAGCCATAATGTCTTCTAATATTGGTACATCATCAGCTTCCCTGGAACAAACACCTCAAACAGCATTAAATTTTCCTTTACCACCGGCATCACCACCTGTAGTTCATATTTTCTCGAGCAAAAAAAAATGACGAGCCAAATTATTTGCGAATGATGAATTTTTATCTATCGACAAAGGTAAAATCAGGTGATATAGTCTTCTAAGAAAAAGTTTCATATCATAACTTCTTTAGGTGAAACATCTGACAGTAGTGATACTCGTTCAGTCAATAATCATCAACAAATACGAGCTGAAGCTGAAGCGTCCTACATGGCTAATATTGTGAAACGACAAAAATTGTTCAACGATGCATTACGTCAGCATGAATACAAAGTTGGTGATTTGGTCGGTTTAAAAATTGACAAAGTAGACAGAACAAATGTTACACCTAAGATATTGCCATGTAAAATAATATCGATTCAATCGGCATCAAATGATATGGATACTTATCAATCATGTACAACAACATGTGTAATCTCTTCACGATTTCAAGTGCTCGATCTATTGGATTTATCCAATTGTAACTTTCGTGACTTACGTGAAGTCGCTTTAACAGCTTTACCAACTATGACATTCATTCAAGCATGCAAAGCGTATGTGAGTGCAGGATTAGTTACTCCTGTTGAAGCATGTAACTGTAATGGTAATTGTTCAACAAAAAAATGTCCTTGTCGGGCAGCAAAAATACAATGTGGTACCAAATGTCATTCGTCAAAAACGAAACCGTATTCAAATGT